ATCGCAACCACTGTGGCCGAGGAGGGACTGGACATCGATGACTGTAATTACGTCATCCGTTACGACATGGTCGGGAATGAGATCTCCACCGTCCAAGCGCGTGGTAGAATCAGAACGCTCAATGGAGGTCGATATTGTTCCGTGATTGCAGCTGATGCTGGTGCTATTGGTAAGGAACAGTTAAATCGGTATCGAGAGTGTCTGATGATGGAGGCGTTAGCAAAGGTTCAGAAAATGGATACTGAACTTTACAAGGAGAAGGTAAAATTCATAGTTAATACTAAGATATTAATAGATATATTAGTTATATTTACATGGGACTCTTGTCCTTTTGGCCATGCCCTCAATTAGATTTAAATATCTAGTTGTAAAGTTATTAATTAAATAATTATTAATTAACGAACGAACGAACGAACGAACGGACGGACGGACGGACGGACGGACGGACGGACGGACGGACGGACGGACGGACGGACGGACGAATGAATGAATGAATGAATGAATAAATGAATAAATAAATATGGTAAAGTTAGAGGTCTTGTTTTCTGTATAGACTTCCTCGGCTCGGGCGCGTAAGATTTTCTCCTTTCAGACTACGAATCATTCTCTTGAGAATAAGATTCTTTGTTTGAGTCATCTTTATATTCATGTGTCCTCTCGTGCACAACCGTTAAACAAAGAAATGATACTCTAGGRAATGCTTGACGCGTTTTCTGACATGGGAAAATATTACGCCCAAGCCGAGGGAGGCCTATTCATCTTTGCGTCTAATGTTTTGTTCCTGGCGTCCGTCCGCATAATAAATAAAGCTGATCTAAACAAAATAGATTTAACTAAAACATTTCCACCTTATTCTAAATATCTTTTTCCAAGGTACGGGATTTCCAGAAGGAAGCAGCGAAAGAACGCGCCTTGAAAGAAAAGCTCCGTCGTGCGCTGAAATCCCAGTTCGACCCCAATGACGTCACGTTCAAGTGCAAAAAGTGYCACGTGATTGCATGCCAGGCGCATGACGTGAGGCAAGTCAAGCAGTCATATCACGTGGTCATTCCCGATGATTTTAGGCAGAAGATCATCTTGAGAGAGTTACCGAAATCCAAGGTCAGAACCTTTGATGAGATTTCGATGCCAAAGACGATGAGCTGTAGCCGGTGTGGAGAACATTGGGGATGCATTGTTAATTTTAGAGGTAAGGAGACTATCATACACTATTCCTACGACATGCCTAGCCCTGAGAGGGGTGGGGAGGGGGGTCTGGTATAGTGTAAATGTCCCGGAGGAATTGAGTGCGTATCATCTCGGTAAGACGATCCTTGACAGAAACGAGTGCAGAGGATTCAAAACTTATTCATGTTACGTGAGCACGAGAAAACGCCCCTTAAGGTAGATAGCAGTCGCAGAATTATATAAACAGAAATAAACAGAAATAATAAATCTAGAGAAAAAATACAGATAAACTAAGGTACCGATCTAAGTGCATAGTGCATTTAGAATTACTGGTTTTCAATCATTCCCAGGGGAGTAAAATAACAAAAGACAGGGCAGCCATGTTGGTTGATATAACAAAAAAAGTCTTTTGTTAAATCTAACCGAGATGGCGGCTACGACGTCTTGTGCAAACGAAGAATATGTTTGTGACGTAATCAGATGACGTAAGTTATTCCATATGTTCGTGACGTAATATGATGACGTATGGTATTCCATTTCTAGGACTGGAGATGCCWTGCCTCAAAGTGACGTCATTCGTGCTGGAGCTAAAGCGGAATGAAAAAGTGCATAAAATGCTAATTAAACAATGGAAGAAATGTCCCTTCGAARTTCAGTCGGTTGATATTGGAGAATTGCTTGAGATTAAGGTGTCAACGGAAGAGAATGGTTTGGGCGACCTTGTGATAGAATTATGAAAACACACGTGGTATCTATGAATATAAGCGTGTGATTTAGGATGTGTAGATTTAAAGTGTTATACCTTCCCATAAATGAAAAAGCATAAATTGCAGTAAACTGCTCAAAGGAATGGAATTTCTTGATCAAATCGTTGAAAAATATTTTTCAAAGAAATTGCACTTCAATTTGGTAGTGAATTTAGAACGAGCAAAGGGGACTAAATAAAGTAAAATTTAGAGAATAGAATAAGGAAAAATGCATTGGAGTGGGTTATCAGTAAAATTTTCTTGCAGTAAACTGAAAAATTTTCAAACAAATTACACACGAACTTCAAGTCGGTAGTCAATTTAGAATGAGCAACTTAAGAGGACAAAATAAAGTAAAATTTAGAAAAAAAAGAATAAGAAAAAATGAGTTGGAGTGGGTTATAGAGTGAAATTCTCTCGCAAGAAAAATGAAAAAATTTCAAATAAATTACGCACGAACTTCAAGTCGGTAGTCAATTTAGAAGGAGCAAAGGGGGGGCAAAAATAAAGAAAAAAATTAGAAAATGGAATGAGAAAAAAAGCATAAATTGTAAGATTAAATTAGATACACTATAAATTTCGACAATAAGACGCGAAGCAAAGATTTTAGTGTTAGTACATTATAAATGACGTGTATTCTTTCTAAAGCATTAAATGTATGAATAATATTTGTATTCTCTTTGTCTACTTTTTCTAACTAGTTTATGATAGAAATATCTATCTATCAAATGAATCTATCCACCCTACGAAAAGAATATCAAAAGCGACTAGTGTGACGTCATAGCCAACATGACGTCATAAATTTCATGCTCAATATGTGAAGTCATAGTCGCCATGTTCATATACGTGACGTCATACCTACAATTTTTATTACATGTGACGTAATAACCTCCAAGTTTGTGTATATGACTTCACACTATCTACATAGTTGACGTCATATTTATTTTTCGTTCTATTCATGCACGTGACGTCATAGCTGTGACATTTATGCACTAGATAGCCGCCATGTTGGATGACTATAACAAAAGAATTTTCAAATGCTATTTTGCATTGTCAGCCAACATGGCGGGGAATTTAATTGGTTTTCAGCCGATTGCTTACGTTAAAACACCTATCTTAGGCAATTGTTTTCAATCAAAAATGAAAAACTTCCTATTTTCTCTGTTGCTATATATTGATAATTTACAAGATCTTGTCAGCCATAAACACCTTGTTCAAGTACTTCGTCATGTTTAGTTCATAGTGGCAAGGTTCTTTGGCATGTCTTCCATGTATCAATATTGTTCAATACCTAAAAATCCACTATGAAAACCTGGAACAGATCAAAATTGTTCATTTTGCGAAAAGTCGCAAATGTTTTATCATCCAAAAACAACCAATCATTKACTGGCTAGAACCAACCAATCACAGCACAGCTACCATGCACTTCACTGACCAACCAATTATATTGACTTTTCATTTGCAGTGGACGAATCAGAACCGTCCTTGTTCCCTCGTGACCTTTCTTATCCAATGAACATAAGGATTGACGCGCGTGAAGAATCTATGGTGTTTATCAGTACCACATTTCTCGTCCCAGCCCACCAGACCATCGATAGACCATCTATAATCACGTGTGCTTTGATCATACTTCTCACTGACAAACGCACTTCCACCGTCCCCCCGACAGTTCTGCTTKAAGCTCTTCCTATCCATCGCGCAGAACATAAGAGTTGAATTAAACGGCTTGGACGTCATGTTGAAGCACTGCTGTGGGGGTGAAATCACTAGAGCGGTGTGAACAAGAACTCGCGACCTGTTCCTACGTTTGGTCTTTGATCTTGAGCCATCGACATTGACATCGGGGCGATCCCACTCGGTCACAAACCCGTGCTTCCCTGCATCCGAAGTCTTTTTACCTCTAAAATTACTAGGCAGACACACAGCTCTAACGTGTTTGCCTATCTTAAGCTTGTACTGTAGTTTGACAAGCGCGATGTCGTTCTGGTTCGTATGGTAACGGAAGTTCTTGTTGACGTAGATTTTAGCAACTGGAGCCATTTGTTTGGCGTTTTCTCTCTGTTTTCTTGTCTCTTGATGGTCGCCCGCTACTACGGTATACCTGAAAATATCAAGGAGGAAGAAAGACAATAAAGTTGGTAATACCTAAAGGAAGACTCGGAAACACTCTCGGCGTCCGTGTTCCTKATGTGTATCAATTCCTGATGTAACGGTGGTGTAATCGCCTCTCAYCTCTTGGTTCTCAATCAGATTCGATTCCTCTGGACACAGCATCACACTTGAGAAAAMTTTGTTAGATCTCTCCCTTGATTCGAGGGTTTTTCTCCGGGTTCTCCGGTTTTCTTCCTCTACAAAACCAGCTAACAAGCTAAATTCTAATTCAATCTGTGAGTTACCCGTCTGACTTAGATCAGCCCAGAGGTTGTTTCAGGGTTCGTTCTGTGAGTTAGCGGTGCCCTGACTTAGATCAGCCCAGAGGTTGTTTCAGGGTTCAATCTGTGATTTAGCCATGCCCTGACTTTGATCAGCCCAGAGATTGTTCCAGGGTTTAATCTGTGAGTTAGCCATACCCTGACTTTGATCAGCCCAGAGATTGTTTCAGGGTTCAATCTGTGAGTTACCCGTCTGACTTAGACCATCCCAGAGGTCGTTTCAGCGTTCGATAAAAATTGTATTTGGTTCAGCACAACGGTTTGGCTTGGTTGTTAATATTGACTGAGGCTACGACACCGTAGGTGTAATATCGTCAACGTTGAATTAACTTCCTTAATGTTCTTATTTACAAAACAAATACCGTGCACMAACCTCCATGGTGGCCATGTTATAGCTTTACGAGCGCTCGAGTAAAAACAGTGAGCAGCCGTCAAGACCCACTGGTCACCGATCAAAGCACCGCCACATATTGGAGAACGAGCTTCTGAAATATCAAATCAGAAAACTATATTTTATTTCAAGMAATACACACACATATATGTCCAAGCAACATGGCTTCATTTCACTGTTTCAAGCGCTATGCGCTAATTGAGACAATGCAACAGCTGATAGAGAAATCGGGCAATACACTGTYGTAAATCAAATATATCGTTAGAGTACATACATTTTTTCACCAATGTTCGACTTTTGTTTTTATTGAATGTATATAAAACGTTTCTAATGCTTATACTAAAAGCACTTTTGCCTGAAAACCTCCACCAATAAACCTCTCTTTAGCTTGGGCAGAATGTTTTCTCATTCCACACCGCGTGTCATTCCCTAGACTATCATTTCTTTCTTTAATTAAATAGCGCATGAAAAGATACATAAATATGGATACAACTMAAATAAATAATTCTATTCCCAAGATAATGACACGTGGTCTGAAATGAGAAAACATTACGCACAAGGAAAAGAGGTCTACTTTCGTGTTGGACGAAAGTTTTCAAGCAGCCAGTTTATGGCGCATGCACATAAGTTTTTTAACCCTGTCGCCAGATAGYCATCTACTTACTGTCCCAATAGATTCCAATCTGCCACGGCCATGCTCCACTAGCAGCTTTGTTCCCTCGAATASTTCGTGATTTAGGTTTGGTGTTGCTGATACCACATTTGTYGTCTGCTATGAACAATGAGAARYGCATTACTGAAGAAATAGAAAACGCGCGCGTGCTGTGTGCAGTTATAAAGCATGCGGGGATTGGCAGAACACGAGAGAAGTGTTTGGAAAAGCAAGACGCGTAGCAAAGTGCTTCTAGACCTTTCTCGAGTGTTCTGCCAATCCCCAAGTGCTTTATAACTGCACAGCAGGCAATTTTTTTATTTCTTTTATAAAATACAAATTGCAATAATCGTTATTTTAGATGGGAATGYTGCAACGGAAAGACCGCGCGCGTGCAATGTGCTCTCATAAAGCACGCGCTCCAAACCAATCAGAACGCGTGTCAGATTTCAGATCACGTGTCATTCTCTTGAGAATAAGATTCTTTGTTTGAGTTGTATCCATATTCA